GACACTGACCCAGAGGACTCCTGAGCACTTGCCCAGTATCACTGGGTCCTTTCAGAGCCCAAAAACTCAACTCAGCTATCAGGCTTTGATCTGCTCCCTGCATTTATGCATCATCTCAAACTGAACGTGGCTATCAGCTTTACTAAGTGTTATAAAGAGCCACATGTATAATAATTACATATATAGAACACATTCCACTGAAGGAAATTATATCAATAATCACATCTGAGAAGTGAAGCACCACTAAGGAAACCCTGATTATGAGAGTTTGATGGAGCAATCCTAAGGAACATTTCAGAAAGGTAAAATATTTGGGATTCTCATGGATGTGTTTACATATCCCTAAATTTTCTTTCTTTTTTTGGTCAAATGTCTTATCAGTTGCCCAGCTAAAATATAAGAATCACTGTGCCCACTCTAGGAGTTGTCTAATAAATTACCAGTTTTTCTCCAAAACACAAAAACCCTGTCCACTTCTATTTTTGGTGAGGTGCTAAGCTGCTCCCAAGTGTGGGAGGGATCAGTGAATACTAACAACAACCACAAGGGCAGCTCTGCCACCCTGCTCAAGGAGCCCTGTGCAGCACCACATTCTGCAACTTGAGGAAATATTGTAAATATGGAAGATGATGCCTATCCTGAGCATTCCTTCTCCAGAAAAAGCAGGATTGGAAGTTGCTCCTGGAAGTGACAAGGATTTGTTTCACCACTTATTTTCTCCAGACTGAGTAATTTCACTGTGCAGCAGGACAGTTTTCACCTCTTTTTAGTTCTTCCTGAGAGGTGAGCCAAAGCTTCCATCTCAGCCACACAATTAGAAGGCTATCATAGAATGTAATCACAAGGTAAAAACTGCAGCACAAACCTAACACTGCTTGCTATATTTGCAAAGTTGCTATTAAAGATCAGTCTGTGTAAAAATTAAAAACAGAAGTATGGGATTGTTTTATAACTCTGTTTCTGTGATCACTGTTAATCTGTGGATTTCCTTCAAGGTAGAAATCACAGGTACAAAACCTACAGACCTTCAAAGTGTTCAGGAAAAAAAAAAAAAAGAAATCAAGTATGCATCTCATTTCTCATGAAGAATCAGTAATCAAAGCTAGTTCATTTAATAGAACTTCTCAATAAGAAATTCTTTTCCCCTTAAAGATATTTCCCATTGTTTCCTTAATGTCATATTTTCAGTTTTCCTGGGTTTCATATTAACACAAATTTGAATAATATTTAACTTGGCTCCATTAGCCCAAACAATCTGTAACATTTGTCCAAACATAACTCTAAAAGCTCTGTGGCAAAATATTTTAAGTGGTGCCATTAGATCTTTTACTAATTAAAGCAAAAAGTTTCCGACTTGAACAGGTACATGGAATTTTTAGCTCAGGAGAATGCAGAGAGAAATAAATGCCTTTCCAGAGCATAACAGTTTAAAAAGGCACTTCGTGTGTGGCCATCAAGAAACTTGCTAAAATTATTTTCTCAACATATAAACATTTCCCCGAGATTAAAAATATTTTTGTGATTTCAGATATGATCAATTTGGTCTTATTTACATGCTAAACATACGAGTAAGAAGATTACACATCAACCCACTGTTATGTCATAAATAGTTACAGGTTGCTGTGGACCACAGGGCAGATACTCTGATATATCCTGTGGCTGACTGATGTTTCACCCATGAGCAGAATTTACACTCAGAGTCTTTTTCTCTCTGCTGCTTACATCAGAAAGCCCAAGCTGGTGCAATTAGTAGGAATCTAGATTTGAAGAAACTGATACAAGCTTTAAAGCAGTTGTAATGAAGATGTTGATGAACTCTACAAAAGCAGTGAGAGGCTCACAATGGACTGACAGAAATGAAAACTGAAAACAGTATTTAAAATACAGATTAAAGTGTTACCACATTACCTTCTGTATCCTATTTCCACAAGGTTTCAGCCACTGAATAATCCAACAATACGCTATTTATATATGTAAAAAAACCCCAAACAAACCCTCCAACACAGCTACATTTCACATTTATCAGTGGTGGTATCTCTGAGGTTAAATGTTCAAACTGAATATTGTGAAATCGCTACTATTGTTCTTTTCACAGCCATTAATCTAAAATTTAAATCTGTAAATAACACCAAAAAGAACAAGACCAAGACAATGATTATGCTCTCCTTCATTCTTTTTAACACTTAACCTGCCAAGACCAAGAGCCTTCTTCTTCTGGCTCAGCTTCCTGCAGCAGGCAGGGGAAGTTCACATCTCCGATGTTCATTCTCACAAATGAAACCCAGTAACAACATGAATTCAGCCCCCCTGAAACTCCAGCTACAACAAATTACCATTTATGAAATGGCTCTCAGGTGGCCAACTAACCTTGTGCTTGTGAATCACTTCAACCTGCAATTTCAAAGTTTCATTCTAGCCTTTAACTCTTTAAGCCATTCACACGCCTCACCAGCGAAGCACACAAACCACCCATGTTATCACACATTCTTGGCATGCTCCCCTGGTACTGGCTTCTTGTGGGGTTTGTTGTTCCAGATTTGGGGGTTTTTGGCTCTCAAATGCCAGGTTGCTACCCACCAATTTTAGAGGACACAGTTTCAGGCACAGAAGTTAAGGTTTCTCTAGCACTGACATCTGAAAGCTATTGCTCACACAGCTGAGGTTAAAGGAGGGCTGATACGGCCACAAAACATTAAAGGTTGTAGAATAGTGTAGTGAGAAAGCTGCATATTGCTATCATTTAAGAGCTCTCAGCACTATAAAATGCATTTAGAAACAGCCAAGCATTCTATAAAATTTCATTCTGGGACAGAACTTAGCCTTTAGGAGTGCTCTTTGCACACAAACTTTGTTTGCTTAGTAACCTCATCCAGCTTTCTTCCTCGGAGGAAAAACTGCCTGAGAATTTGAAGTTTCCCCAAGTCTATGACCCAGAAGGAAATAAAACAGGAAGTCAGGCCATACAATCTACAGCATTTGCTTACAAGTTCAAAAACATTTTAAGTCAGGGGCTAACCCACAGGAGGTGCAGCCGAGTGCGCTCTCCTGGGGTCACCGGGAGCGCAGCGCGCTGCGGAGCCCGGCCGGGCTCTGATTACCATGGGACATGGCCCTTTAACAGTGCCCTCTGGATGTGGCCCTGTAACATTCCCCCCATAGACATGTCCCTTGAATACCCCTCTCCCTGGACATGTCCCCTTAACATTCCCCCCTGGAATGAACGTGCGTGTCCCTTTAACATCCCCCCATAGACATGTCCCTTTAACATCCCTCCCTGGACTCGTCCCTTTAACATTCCCCCCCATAGACATGTCCCTTGAATACCCCTCTCCCTGGACATGTCCCCTTAACATTCCCCCTGGAATGAACGTGTGTGTCCCTTCAACATTCGCCCCCGGATGTGTCCCTTTAACATGCCCCCCATAGAAATGTCTCTTTAACATTCCCCCCATACACATGTCCCTTTAACACCCCTCCCTGGACTTGTCCCTTTAACATTCCCCCCATAGAAATGTCCCTTTAACACTCCCCCCCCATAGAAATGTCTCTTTAACATCCCTCCCTGGACTTGTCCCTTTAACATCCCCCCCATACACATGTTCCTTTAACATCCCTCCCTGGACTTGTCCCTTTAATATCCCCCCTGAATGCGTCCCTTTAACATTACCCCCATGGACGCGTCCCTCTAACACCCCTCCCCTGGACGCGTCCCTTTAACATTCTCCCCTGGACCTGTCTCTTTAACATTAATGAACGTGTCCCTCTAACATTCTCCCTGGACGTGTCCCTCTAACCTTTCCCCCATGAACATGTCCTTTTAACATCTCTCCCTAGATGTGTCCCTCTAACATCCCTCCCTGGACGTGTCCCTCCAACACCCCCCCCGGAATGAACGTGTCCCTTTAACACCCCTGCCTGGACGTGACCCTTGAACATTCCCCTTCATGGACATGTCCCTTGAACATGCCCCCCTGGACTGTCCCTCTGACATTCCCCCCGCCATGGACATGTCCCTCTAACATTCCCCCCTGGATGTGTCCCTCTAACACCCCTCCATGGACATGTGTCCCTTAAGCACCCCTCCATGGACGTGTCCCTCTAACACCCCTCCCTGGATGTGTCCCTCTAACACCCCTCCATGGCCGTGTCCCTCTAACATTCCCCCCTGGATGTGTCCCTCTAACATGTTCCCCCCGGCCGTGTCCCTGTCTCGCACCGGGCACTCTCTGAGCTGTGCCATCTGTTATGCATTAAGGCACGTCAGAGACGCCGTCCCCTGCACCGAGCGAGTGCCAGAACTCTATCAGAGAACTCGACTTTGCTTTCAGCTTTCTCCCTAGGAACTCACTGAGCGAGTAAAAACAGTCAGCTAAAAAAACTCCCGAGAACTTTCAGTACGGGGGATTCGCTACGAACACATTCATTATTCTCCGTGCTCCCCACAGCGTTACGTTGCTATCATAAACCCTGAGGCAGATTAAAAATTGAATACCCCGCTTCCCCGCAGCAGCTTAAAACAGAAATTAGAGGCTGTTTAATGTGACTTCTCCGTCTGAATTAGTTTATGGAAGCAGCCGGTTTTCCATGGTGATGAAATCACCATGCTGAGAAAGTAAGGAGAAACTGCTACCAGCCGCCAGGTGAAAACATCCAGGTTTCTAATTGCATATTAAATTGGTGTTTGCACTGACAGCGATTACAGCCGGGAGCACTCCAGGTACAGCTCCGAACTCCATTTCAAGCAAGTCACTGCAAAACCCGATCAGGCGGCAGCTGAAAGTTCCCGAGAAACTCTGAACCCGATCGTTTGTACAAAGGCACAGCGGCAGGAGCGCTGCAAGTCCCGAAAAGCTCCTCCCCTTCCCTCCTGAAAACATTAATCCGTGTTGGATTGCTGAAACTCCTGTTACCGAGTGCTCTGCACTGATAGGCAGGTGTTGGGAAACTCGTCCCAGGTGTTGCTACAAGTGCTCGAGAAGCCCTTAACGGTTTTTACTTACAGTCTCTCCGCGTTCCTGGGAATATCCCTCGGCACAGTTTTGAGTCCCAGTCCATGACAATCCACGTTGGAAGCAATACACGTACACTTATGCGGGCATCCTCCAACAGGCATCCAACTCACGGAGCTCCAAAAGCTCAGGATCGTTCCAAGGCACAGAAACGCACTTCTCCCACCAGACAACATGGTTCTCGATGGCTTCAGTGGGTATAAAAGTGAGCGAGAGCAGCCGGCCCCTAAAGATGAAATGCCTCTAAGAAAAAAGGGAAAAGAAAACAAGAGGCTCTTAGTACAGCCCAAGGGAACCCACCACTGCCATCATCGCCGGAGCACCAGCAAAGCTTCAAAGGCGCCCGAGAAGGTCACGTTAGGTGGAAGAAGGTGGGGAATTGCCTTTCGGGCTCAGGTTTCTTTCTGTTATCTACGAACGGTACCAGAAGGCAGATAGTTTAACAGAGCTCGAGCCAGATGCGTCTTCAGATGAAAGAGAACCCGGGAGCGGAGGCAAACACACACAAAACATCCATCAGGAGCGGCGGCAACCTCCAAAACAGCCTCCTCCGCTCTGCACCGCCCCACCTGGGCCGGGCAGGTAACCCGCGGAGGGGACGGCCGGGGCTTCGCAGCGACCCCTCCGCCGCGGGCCCGCCCCCGCCGCGGGCTGTGTCGGGGCCGTGCGGGGCTGTGCTGAGCCGTGCGGGGCTGTGCTGTGGCTGTGCTGTATCTGTGCTGTATCTGTGCCGTGCTGGTCTGTGCCGAGCCGTGCCGGAGCAGCGCTGCCGCCGCTGCCGAGCGCGGAGCGGGGATGGAGCGGGGCGCGCCCCCCCCGCCGCGCCATTGGCCGCCGCGCCTGACGTCACCGCCCGCCCGGCCCGGGCCCGCCGGCCGCGAGTTCGGGACCCGCGGGGACCGGGACGGGGATCGGGACAGGGACCGGCAAAGGGGCCGGGACAGCGCCGAGCGGGGCTGGCCGGGCACAGCGCGGAGGGCACCCGGCGGCGCCTCGCAGCCCCTTCTTCCCTTCCCTGCCCGGCGCCGCGGCGGGGGGACGCGGCTCCCGGAGCGGGGACCAGCCCCCCCCGGCCCCGGTTCGGGTTTCGGGAAGGAATGTGCGGGCAGGAGCACGGGAACGGGCGCGCAGCGGCTCCGCGCTGCCCCTGCGGCCGGGGAGGCTGCGCCGCCTTTTGTTGCCCGCGTTCGCTCTCGCCGAGTACCCCCTGGCGGCGGCTGCTCGGCCGGGGACACCGGGACTGCACTCCCCGCACGCTGCCGGGGACATGGGGACACCGGGACACCCGGGCTGTGCTCCCCGCACACCGCTCCGGGGACACGGGGACACCCGGGCTGTGCTCCCCGCACACCGCTCCGGGGACACGGGGACAGCGGGGCTCTGCACTCCACACAGCGGTCCGGGGACACCCGGGCTGTGCTCCTCGTCACTGCGCCGGGGACACGGGGACACCCGGGCTGTGCTCCCCGCAGCACACCGGCACCGTCCCTGTCCCACCCGGGCTGTGCTCCCCGCACACCGGCACCGTCCCTGTCCCACTGCGGGGACACCCGGGCTGTGCTCCCCGCACACCGGCACCGTCCCTGTCCCACCCGGGCTGTGCTCCCCGCACACCGGCACCGTCCCTGTCCCACCCGGGCTGTGCTCCCCGCACACCGGCACCGTCCCTGTCCCACCCGGGCTGTGCTCCCCGCACACCGGCACCGTCCCTGTCCCGCCCCAGCCCGAGCGCCTTCCGTCCCGCCGCTCCGCTGGGGTCACTGCTGGGCTTCGAGCACCGAAGTTCAGCACCAAAAGTCGAAACTTGGAAAAATTTGCTTCATAAGACAAAAGCAGGGTCATTCTGATTTGGTGCGGTTTAAGGCTCAGATGTTTTACCTAAAGAGGGCCAAAAAAGACAGCACGCCCCCAAAGTCTTAGAGCACTGGGAAAATGGCAAGTCCCGCCACAAGGTATTTTTTTTAAGGTAAGTCTTGGCCCCTTAGCAGGTAGGGCTGCCCTGTAGTACACCATACACACAGTGACCTACTGACCCAAAATAAAGCTGGTGGCTGCACATCATAAACGTCTGCCTGTTTCAATAAACCTTCTTTCTTATTTCACAGACTTAAAAATAGTTCAAAAGACAGGTTTATGACTAACTGACTTGGGAACACAGATAATCTGTTCTTTATCTGCATCTTTATCCACAAACTTGTGGTGCATGGCTATGGAGTCTAGGCTCTGATCCTGTGGGTGAGGAAGTTCTCAACAAGGATCATGGCCAGCATTACCACAAAACCCTCACAACGCTCCAAAGATTTGACATTGCTAAGTTACATTAGGACTCGGCTCTCAGGTTGTGCCCAAAACGTGCTCTCATCTTTTTTTCTACAAAAATTAAGTATTTTAAGTGAAGGGCTAGTAGGAAAACCACTGTAAGATGTTCACCACAAGCTATGGATATGGCCTTCCTGTTTGCAGTAGCACATCCTAAAGAACCTGTTCATTTCTGGCAATGTTTTCTTCATGTTTCAATTATTGAAGTTTGGAATTACCTAAGGCATTCCTGCCCTCCTGGATAGCTATTTTTGCTCAAACCAGTGAATTGTTCCCCTTCACAGCCAGCAAAGCAGCTACTTGTCTACTACCTTCTGTAAGAAGCAAACATTTGACACTCAAGTGTTTCTTTGTGAAGGCAAATTTGTCAAAGAGCACAAGCAAGACCACAAGTTAACCTTCAACTCTCCTGGCCTTTGTCTGAAAAAACAAGGAAGTTGTTTTTCTCATATAAAAGTGAATTATTTGCATGTAAAACTGTATTTGTTTATAGAAACCACCTTAATCAAGCCTTGAGATTGAACCCCTTACATAAGAACCAAAAGCTCAGTGCAGTGGCCCTTATACAGCAATATCCAGCCTGTGAGCTCAGTGGCAAGTGACACAAGGTTGGAAAATGCCCAGAGGGACTCAGCTGTCACCCCTTGAGCTTTTTGCTGCTTCAGAAGATATTAGAAAACACTATCCCCACATCCATCCCAACTCCACAGAAACAAAAAGCTTGGGAAGGCGCACATCACCCTGCCTGGATTCCCAAATTAACCTCTCCCTTCCCAGATCAAAAGGCAGAGGGCAATGACTCTGACCAGCAGTGTGAGCAGAAGAAAGGGGCAAAGCCCCAGAGCCCTGTCAAGCCTCACAGTGCCCAAAGCAGCAGAGATAACCAGGGGGCCAGAGCCGTGTCCCTCTCCTTTTCCCTCTCCAGAGCCAAGGCACAGCCAGCTCCAGGCATGTCACCAACACTCAGCACTATCTATTCTGAGGCCAGCCCCCTCTGTCAAGTGTGAGCCTACAAGAGATCAGCTCTTGAACAAGGAACAGCTGGTTCAGACCAGGCAAGACAGAAATTACACTGCTTAGGAAGACAAAGTGCTCGCAAAGCTCTGAAGTCTCCTGTGCACAGAATGACGGTGTACGCCCTTAGCTCATTCTGACAGTGAAAATACTTTTGTTGGAACCTGACTTCCCTTGGCAGCCAGGCCATCATTCCAAGGAAAGGCTCTTTTCCTGTTCTAGTTCACTAGCAATCATCTTCCCAGCCCTGAAGACAGCCCTAAGGAGAGGCACACACCCCTCACCTCAGGATGGGGGCACAGGAGCAGTTGGATGCTCAGTAAATAAGATTATAGGTAATGCAGACATCATAGCAAAAAACAATATCCCTAAAGCCTCTTCAACACTGTCATCCAAAGCAGCTGACATATTCCATGCTTCAGTGGTAATTCCTCACAATAAAATTTCCCTGAAAGACAAGTGAACCTGATTAAATGGCAGAAAAACGGATGAGCCAAAAGCCGAGCCTATCCTTGAAACCTATTTAATTTTTATAAAAGCTGAGAGGCACATTCTCCTGCATGCCAGTTAAAACAGCTCTTAAAGGGAGATGGCCACATCATCTCAGGACACACCACAGTGGAGCAGGGTGTTAACTCTGTTGGTTTTCCTTCACACACATCCCATGGCTCCTGGCTCACAGCAATTGCCACAGGCTGGCAAACAAGTCACTCTTCATTCTCTTTCTAGAGGTCAGCACAGCAAGTGTAACACAAAACTGCACAAAGCTACAAAAGATTGGATAATTTGAATAAATAAAGTGTTTTTTCCTAATATAAATACAAATTTAGGCAAGTTATTTTTAGGAGCCATCTAAAGCTGGACAGCTTTTATCTGTACTATTTCCTTGAGTATTAGACACTACCAACATTTCCATATATGTAAAACCCTTACAAACAAGATTACTATCAAAGGTGTGCTGTCTGCTCAGCAGGGATTTAAATCTTGCCTGCTGCTTCTGCAATAAGAAATATACTACAAAGAAATATAGTTTCTCTTAGTAAATTAGTAGTTCACTACTTAGAACATCTTTGAAAACTGACTAATACATAAATATTTGATTTCAAGTAAGGAAAAAAAAAAGCTTTGTTTTTTTCCCCTTAGCATGGGATGACATTTACTAAGCAGATGTTCAGAGTATATCTATATTCAAGCAGTGCTGCCACCTAAGTACTTCTGTAGCTGCCTTCTCTTGAGAACCCACCATCAACATTTCCTTCATTTCCTTGGAATAGCACCCTCCATACCAGCCTACGAAAGCTGAGTTCTGGAGCAGGGTGGGCAGAACCAGACAGAACCATCACAGAGGCCAAAAAAAAAAAAAAAAAAAGAAAAACCAAAATAGAAATCTGGACAATTTTGAGCTTCCAACACATTCTTTGCGAAACACGCAAGCACAAGTGTTTACAGTTAATTTCAAGATAAATGACATGGTGTGTCATACATAACGTCACCGTGTCCCTTCTTGGGGACTTCCTGGGCAGTCGTGCACAGGCACACACTGTGCAGCAAGTGTGGCTTGTCTGAGAAGCTCAGGGCTCGCTGCACTGGTGCTGTGCATGTGGCCTGCACATGTGCAGGACAGCTGATGGCTCCCAAATGCTCATTTTTTAGCATGCACAATAGTCAGTTGTCTAGAGGCCTGATGGGAACTGGTCAGCTGGATGAAGTCCTGAAATCTCAAAGTTTCTGGGCAAGAAGTAAGAGGCATTAAAGGAATCCAAGCATGTGGCACTCTGGTTGAGGAGCAAAAGAGCATCAGTGCTGCAGAACTACCTGCACAGCAGAGCAACCAGGAGGGTGG